TGACCTTGGGCATCTCACTTTATCTCAATTTCTTTTCTTTAAAATATTTTGTAGGGTTGGTATGAGGGTTAATCAGATAACACAAAGCACAGTAAGTACACATAAGTAACATTTACTAATGGCACATGAGTAACAGTTATGGCTTTTATTCTGTAACTTGACTTTTAAAAAAATATGTTTTTATTGATTTCAGAGAGAGGAAGGGAGAGGGAGTGAGAGATAGAAACATTGATCGGCTGTCTCTTGCACGCCCACTACTGGAGATCAAGCCTGCAACCTGGGCAGGTGCCCCGATGGGGGGTTGAAGGACTATGCTCAGCCAACTGAGCCACACTGGTGGGGCTATAACTTGATTTTTTAATGCCTTTATAGTGACAACTGAGTTTTTCATGGTCTGAGAAAGCTTTTGTGCCTGTTAATAAACTCATCAGCTATTTGTTTTCATTGATATTCAATTAAATAAATGCTATTTCAAGACCTGGTATTTTTTTAAAAACTTTAAGCTCAATGTATAAATCTCTTATTTATTTTCTGATTTGTAAATGTTAGAAACACATTTTCTTGGATCAGTATTTAACTTCCATCTTCAACAGATTACACAAAAGTAACAGATTACATTAAAACCCATATAGAAGCTTAGATGTTTCCTTAATTTTTAAACTATACACATTTAATACATTATCTTAACCACTTTAAATGTACAACCAGGCCCTACCTGGTTTTGGCTTAGTGATCAGAGCGTCGGCCTGTGGACTGAAGGGTCCGGGGTTCGATTCCAGCCAAGGGTACACGTACCTTGGTCGCAGACTTGATCCCCGGCCCTGGTCGGGACATGTGCGGGAGGCAGCCCATCGATGTGTCTCTCTCACATTGATGTTTCTCTATTTCTCTCTCCCTTGCATTCTCTCTGAAAAGAAATAGAAAAAATATCCTCAGGTGAGGATAAAAGTACAACCAGGCAGACATACAAATCTAGCAGCAAGGAATTTCTAAGCCCTTCGACCAGCACTCGTGCCCATGCTGTCAGAGAGCCCAGGTCAGAGCTACCTTGGGAGACGGGCGGTGAGTTTCACGCTTGTCCCTGTTCGGAAAGCCTTGAGTGTACATCACATGCCAGTTCCCTTGATCTAAACCGTAACCTCTGATATGAATTATTGAGAGTCTACATCTCTTCAGATCTAACTGTCTACTTAATTCGATACTGCACCCTTCTTATATACTGCTTATATACTTGTCTCACAGTTTCAGAGGTATTATTTCAAAACACAGTATTTATAATAAGATAACCATAATTTATTTCACTAATACCCAGTCTTCGGCTATTACGCTCTCTCCAGTTTTCAAGCATACTTGTAGAAATACTTTTTGAACATCCGTATTTCCTTTGGATGACTCGCAAAATAGAACAACTGGGTGCCACGACCCCAGTGTTAGCTTAGGTACCGTGGCCTCGTATCCCCCGGTGCAGACCTTTCCACTGGTGCTCCTGTCGGCTTCCTGGGGAAGCTGAGCAGCAGTGTGTCAAGTTAAGGAACCATCCTATTGAGATTATTAAGAGAAAATGACTAATGTCGTAATATTTGATAAATATGGTAATATGGTAACATCAAGCCCTTTATGGTGAAACATAGAAGCGAAATGATGTGTTTTCTTGTAATTTCACAGAGAAGCTTCTAGAGTTCTCTTAGGAATGAAAAGCAGAGCAGCAGTGGAAGTCTTTCGTCACCAGCAGTTTGAACACGTGTTACATAGTTAAAATGGTGATACTGGCCTCGAAAGAGTGTAGCTATATATATACACTTCTGTTTCAACTATTGAAAACTTTCCCAAAAGTCATGTGGATGTTGAATTTTATGAAATGCTTTTCTGACTTCACTCGAGATCCGTATCTTTTCTTTTTGCATATATTTGTATTTTATTACAGTCATTTACTAATTGGAAACCTTCCTAGTTCTAAAAAAACAAAAAAAACCTAACCAAACAAAAAGGGTGTACTAAGAGTTTCAGAGTTTTGCATTTGCCTTCCAAAGGAGGATTAATGTATAGAGATCTTTCTTTCTTTAAATATTACCGAAGTTAACCTCTAGTCTTTTGCAACATAGGAGGACTTGGAAAGCTCTCCACCTGCTTTGTGCTCCGCGTAGTGCCCTAAACAAATGAGCTAATGGGATTGCCATCCAGAGGAACTGCTGTGGCCTTTGTCACTTCCCCAGATATTTTACTGGTAGGGAAGGGTCACCACAGGAATGAGTATGTCGTAATCATCATCTCAGTGGCAAACATTGCAGCCCAAGACTGGTTGACACATGCTGAATGTGGTTTGTATATTGAATCTTCTTAATGAAATCCCAAGGAAAATATCAATCCAGCTGCTAATGATGATAAATGGGCTTTGCACTCACAGAGTGCTCTTGCTCCCAGGAGCACAGCGCTCTTCACGATTAATTATTTCACTCATCCTCACAGTTGTCCCATGAGGAAGGTGGCGGAACACTTCCTCTTTAAAAAAAAAAAAAAAAGGTAA